AACAATATGGGTACCAGTTCGGTCAGTTCCGCGCAGGGTCTTCTCCTTTTGTTTCTAGTTTTGCACCCTTTATCATAAGAGCTAAGTTTGAAGAATCTTAGTCCTTTTTTTCTAACATTATTTCCTTCTCTATGAAACTTTTATTGATCTTTAATGAGTGAAATCACTGTTCTAACACCTTTTAACACTTAACAGTTAACTTTTTTAAAACACTAAACATTAAAATTTTACAAATGTTAACACTAAACATTAAAAAAGGCCAAATAACACTTAACAATAAACCCCATCCAGACCCTCTCTATTGTACCATTAAAAATAAACAAACAAAAATAATTTTATATTATCCTTATCATCATCTATTGTACCATTCAAACTAACAAACAAACTAAAATAGTTCTATAATATATCATTATCAGTCTCTATTGTATCATTAAAAACGAGTATTGAGAATTCGAACCCCGGTAATGATGGGCGGGAGGTAGGGGGCTCAAGCCCCGGCCGGACCAACACTCAAGGTCTATCTAAATATCTGCGCTACGAAGTTTAGCAGATTTTTGTTTTCTGCACGTTCTGTATGGAATGTGGTCCTCGCTAAGTACGCGTTCTGGTATGTCTCTTGCGTGTAGTTATTTACAAAGTGCGTAGAAACCAATCCCACGCCTCGCCCCAGTCCGAGCGCATAAATAGTATAAATAGATCCACTTTCGCGCGCGTTATTAAAATTGCAAGGACTTCGCTAGTTCAAAGTCGAGCAACGTTAGTTCTTTACGCAGTATTCCCAAATCGTCAGGTAATGTCTCCTATCTTCGCTTGTTTCACATTTCATCCTATGTTATCCGTATTTCCTATGCTATTTGATCCTTGTAATTAGTTGTTCTGCTCTTAATGTATTATGTCTGTAACCTTCGTTCTAGAAACCACTGGCAACTACATGTTTACTAAGAGTTTAAGAATATCAAATTTCTTTACGTCTTCGAATATTTGCTGGTGCGTTGTTAACATAGTGGTATATAAGTCTGAGGTTAATTGGTATTCATTCTTCGGGTTGTGAACGCCATCGCATACAGAACTTTGATTTTGCGTTGTTTATCTTATAATGCGGGGAGTTTGGCCATTTGAGCGCCTTCTGTTCTAAGCCGTCTGTTGCGCCAAAGAGTGACTCGCGCCATTCTTGACTAGACGTGGATTCAAGCTCAGAGGACGTTCTTCAGCATTCAGTTTAGTTCGATTTTCTTCTTCCTTTTTTTTGGGTAGTTACGACGACTTTAATGTTAAAAGCACTAGCAGCGGTGTCAAAGGTCGTTTGAGCGCCTCCATTGAATTTTGGAAGAGTACCTTGAGTGCTCCTGAGTTTATGCTTGACACCATCAGGCGTGGGTACAGGCTTCCTTTCGCGGAATATCCGCCCTCGTGTTTTTTGGCTAATAATAGATCGGCCTTTCAGCATTCTGGATTTGTGACACAAGCCATCTCGGAGCTTTTAGCCAACGGTTGCATTATTGAGCACAGTGTTCCGCCATTTTGCGTTAACCCCTTGTCAGTTGCTAAAGGGAAGAAGCTGCGCTTAGTCATCGATCTCAGGCACGTTAACAGCTTCCTTGTGAGGTTTAAATTTAAGTACGAGGATCTTCGCTCCCTATCTGAAGTCCTCGAGGAGGGGCACTGGTTCTTTACATGGGACCTTAAGTCCGGATATCATCATGTTGATATCTGCTTGGAGCATCAGCGGTATCTCGGTTTTTCTTGGCAGTTC